TTTCGGCTGGTTCTGACGAATGCGTAATGGCGTGTCGTCGCGCTAAAAGAAAACCACATAACAGTTTTGAGTGTTGCAGTTTCCAGGGGCAACGTTAAGGCCTGTCGGCGGGAACCCATGCTGTTACAGCGCCGACAGCATTTCGGAGACCCAAAACGTTCATCTGAATTGTTTTATAATAACCGCTCGCAATCTGCTTTGTGTATCTATCCTTTCCGTTTCCAGAGTCTTAAACGATAGGTAGCGCGTGATTAAGCCCGAAATAATTCGTTATTTATGAAAACATCTGGAGTATCCTGAAATAAAAACAAGAAACATTCTGCCCGCTCCAACAGCGCCTAACGCTGCGCCTCCGCGCTAAGACCAAACCTGACTACAGTTTCGGGCGTTGCAGGTCCAAGAAAGCCGTGCGTCGGTACTGGCGTTCCATGCCGGGTGAATGCCATGCAGCATCGAATATACGGCGGCATTGGGCGCGCCATTTCCAATGCTGGAAGATGTCTATTGTATTGGGGATGGGCGAGAATGCGGTATGGTAGGTTTGTGTGCGACTGCACTGAGTTTGTTTCAAATTGCCAAGATGCATCGTATTGTACTTTATCGGGCCATTCCACACTATTGAGTTTTTCTCAGAGCTCCGTCGGCAGATACATCCACAGTCACAAAGCAACTAACACACATACGACACAAGATATATGCAAGAGGCTAAAAATGCCAGGTACTTCGAATAATGTTATCAAGGCGGGTCTTAAAAGTAGACAAGTTCGCACTGTCGTTGCTGTGAGACGCTGGTGTACATAAGCGCAGCTCGGTAAGCATCTGCTCGCTTTCCATGGCTATTCTTGGGGCAAAACAGAAATACATGAATAGACAGACGCGTAAAGCGCTCGGTGTTTTGATGGTGGAATAAGAGCTGAAAAGGTAAAGCCTCTGGCCCCCCGTTAATCAATGCCTTGTGTGACAGACATGCATCGGATAAGTCAATGTATTCTTGTACACTGTGCCAGTGAAACCACCGCAGAGCATCCGACACGCGGTCACGCTCACGCCGTTCCTCCGTTCGTCTTCCGAGGAATCTGTGCGTGGACAATACATCTTTACCAGGACGGATCCAGGTGGAGGCGGAGGCGCCACCCCTGGGATACGACAGTCACGAAGCGTCCACCACAGGGGCGTGGTCTTGCTCAAGAGGTTTGGGGCGCTGAACGGGGAAGATGACCAAACACACCCAAAAATATATTGAAAACAGGCTTCTCCCAGCTTGGTTCTACATCCCTCTTGAAGTTAGGGAGCTAGAGCCTTCCCCAGCTGAATAAGAAACTACACTCCTGGTACAATACATCTCCTCGCTCTATCTCGGCGCGAGATACTGCCGTCAGCACCATTACCATTTTGTTCAGCCTGGATGGTCGAAACCAGGTTTCGGTAACCTGGCAAGGCGTCCTTTATGTTGCAACGCAGCAGTCGCAACAGGCATGTTCGAGACACCCAGTGTTGTTTTGCTGATCTTTCTCGGATGCTTACCACTATCGGTTAGGTCGCATGGTGCCGATCAGCAGGATTTCGTAACTGCTTCATTTAGCCTTCACATCAAAGTGCAGGTCGGCAAAGTGCAAGAGTATTTCCGAACATAGCGGCTAGTAAATTCGTTACTTTTTTGTGTCAAATGTTCGACAAGTTATCATAACTCTCCGATAACGCGTCATTGAAGAATATCGTGGCGAACGCAGCTTGATGCAGCCCCTGGAGCTTTCAAACAGTTCTAAGCAGGGGTGATATTTTTTGTAAATAATTGAGGGGCCGAACGGATCTCCCGGCAGCCTAGCCCCCCCCCCCCCCCCCCCCCATTCTTCGCCACAGATTTAGGCAGGTTATTTAAGGAGGAAGCGATTTATGTTGTAAATACACCATTTAAAGATTGGTCTTTAATTTAAACTTCGCATCAGCTCGGGGGGGGGGGGGGCGGGATTCAGAGGGGAAGGTCAGAGGATGCACGTGGCCTCTCCACCATAGGGCGGCGAAGGCACACTTCTATGGCGGTCATGGACGACGGCACGTAACTTTTTTTGTCCTGACGCCGTTCCTCACATTTGTGAGGGACGGCGTCAGGACAATTCAGGAAAGACTTCGGTCGTTCCCGTACTACGGAGTTTTTCAGTTAAACCTCTAAGAATTTTGCGTGTTTTATGGCCGTAGCTGAGTAAAATGCATTGCATCGCTTACCCGCTCAGCTGTTACGTTTTATCTGGCGTTGAGAGCAAACACAGCTTTATGATAAGATGATGGGGGGGGGGGGTTGCAGTGTTGGTATGTGCACTGCTCCACCCGAAAACATGTATGTTTTGTTTCTATGCGGGCGGCAAACATCTAGCTACGTTAACGGAACCAGTTACGGAGTTTGGGGGCCAATACATTTGGTCAAACTACACGATCTGCTTCAATGCCTTTTTTGGTCCTTGGGCTTAGGTCGCAGCGCCTTCCGTGTAAAATGCTGCCTTATTTAAGTTAAAATTTTTGCGTGGATCGCGAGCGGTGCGCAAACATTTTAGTCCTGAATTCGGCGTAGCACCACATATTTCAATGCAACTATGTCATGACATGAGCAATTGTAATCAACACACTTATCATAATCACCAATGCTCAACAAGACTCAATTGTGTTCAACAACTCATAACGAACAATTCACATTGACCATGAGTTGTGTGGGATTGAAGCTAAAAGAAACTGCCTGATTTGATATCTAAAAGTGTCCTGTTGATACAAGGGTGAGTGTGAGTTTGTTGTAAAAATGCACAGAAAATGTATGTGCTATTAGTAGGATGGCCACTTGCACGCTTATTGTTGAATTGGTGTTGCGCTGCCTGAGGTGCGGGTACATTTCTGTTGAATGTACTTTTATCATATGATGTAAGCCCTTTAAATTTCATGTTCGGTGGTTCTTAATCAGCATCACGAACTGATAAGTGACCAGCCTTTAAAATAAGCTTGATTGAAAAGCGTGAGGTTGTGCATTCTTCAATGGCATCATTACTTGCTGCTCACAGCAATGCACATGGAGCGGAAATCCCTGCAACTTGAAAGTCTAAGTTAATCGCGAGTCAATGAATCCCATGAAATGGTAGAAGAACGTATCTAAACACCTATTTTAAAACACACTGGCCGCATGATTCCAAGCAAAGTTGAAACTTTCTCCTAATATTGTCCCAAAAAGTGCAAGGCAGCCAAAAACAATATCACTGTTCCAATCCATGGTGTCTTATATTCATTCGAGTTTAACTAAGCTTCACTGCGTCTTATGTTGCTAGTGATATTCTTTGACGAAAATCGTTAGTGAAGAGGTAGCATACAGACATCGCATCTCCACGAGACCGTTGGCTGCAATACATGAAATGCTCGCGAAACAAGTGAAATGCTGCGCAGAGAATACAATTGTGGCGGAAGCCCAGCTTTGATAGAGTGCTGAAGTTATAATGACCACATTCGTATGCGGCGAAACGCGTAGTAGTAATTTCGCCTTCCAGAATAAGTGTTGATATATGGCTCGCCAACGAGGGACATTTAATCGTTGGCTTGGTGGTGTCAGCCTGGTTATAAGGCAGCCGACAGTCGAGTAGCCGCATGACACGGTGAAGGTCCTTTCGGACTACTTGGATAAGCGATCGGGGTAAAATGGATCTGTTGAAGGTGTATTACAATAATGAAAGGGTGGTTTAACAGTGCTAGTAATAAATTATGGTCAACGCGGGCTCAGGTGAAAAATGACGCCGGCCAAAATTTTCGTTTTCCGTAGAGTTTTTTTTTGCAACTGGGCTGGACCCACAGCGCGCACTGTCGACTCCGCGTACCGACAAGAATATTACTTTATTTTTTTGATTTCATGAGATCTGACAACCAAGAATCAGTGCTGCCAAAATTATGCTCAGTCTTGGGAAACAAGTGTCTGGGTTTTTGTTTGACGAAAAAAATCAAGGTACAAAATAATCTGCCCCAATGTCTTAAGTTACCGCTCAATCGATGACATAATATTGATAATGGGGTTTCAAGTTTCTCATCTGCACCCTCCATGGCGACGACACTACGAAGAATAATCAAAGAGGATCGTCTTTGCCGCTGTTGTTGTCATCGGGGACTTACGACACACTTCGCTACTGAGGCCATGCAACGTCGCTTGCCGATAGGGAGGGCACCGCAGGGAATGGGACCCCGTGCCAAGAACGTCTTTGTATAATGATCTCGCGTAATGACCAACTCTTTCCCACGTTTTTGTCATATTCCAGTCAAAAATTTGGGGGAGGCCCAAACCAACATGTCGGGGGGGGGGGGGGGGCTCAACGTGGGAGGAGACAGGGCCATCACAAAAGAATACAAATAAACACATTTGATGCTGAATAATGCCAAAGCAGGCAGGCAATAACACATAACTAGACCAGATTTAACAAGACTCCTAAATTGTGCAATTAAAACATGCAGAGGGCAGCAAAAACGGAAAATGCTCCAGAAGACATGGTACGAGCGCGTAGCTCTAAAAGTTTGATGTTCTCCTTTTCATTGTTCCTGTTACCTGTGAAAAATCATCAGAAACGCTATTTAGAGAAGTTAAGTTTCAATATAAGTGTTCCGCATGAACATCCTAAGGCTCCAGTAGGTAGGGGGGAAACTCACAATTGGACGCAAAATTGAACTTTAGGGTGCCATTGACCCACCCAAAAGAATGCAAATCAACACCCATGTCTTCAGGCCACCGAGAGATTAAGAAAGAACATCCTTAATCTATGCGTAGTGACCCCAAAATTTCAGGCTTATGGCTATATAATCATATAATAACCCAAGACCCGGTGAACCCGGTGGTGGTTACGCCCGGGCCGCGCCGATGCTCCACTGACGTATTTTTGCGACTTCACAAGATATGCCAGCTTTAGATGGTACCACGAACCTTAATACAAGGTGACGCAATCGTGACGAAAGTGACAGCTTGTGTATGCAATAATGCGTACGGAACGGACGTCATGATCATCTACGCGTAGAACGCTGAAGTGCCGGGTTATCGGGCGCATTTAGGTGCAAGAGGTCCGCCGAACAGGTGTGTTGCAAGGTAAAGAGCTTCTCAGAAGCTTCTCTGAGCACGAAATGTCGTGCAGAAGCTCATCACTCTAATGGCTGCAGCTTTGAGTACTCACACTTTTTTTGGTGTTCACACAGTAACATTTAGCAAACCCTACTTGGGTGTCGGTGTTTTGTTTTGCCATGTAGAAGTATGGAAATGTTGTTTATTGTGGTAATGCATGTACACAAATTTGGCTAGAAATGTAAAAAATCGTCACTATAAAACATCCTTTTGCGACCTTTGTTTTCAGATCCCATATGACTGAACTTTATTTTGGAGCAACAAGATTGCCACCTGAAGTTAAATTGCTCCGCTCTCAGAATGAGGTGATATCGGAAGGAGAGGTTAAGGGCCTCATCCAAGGTAGGTCAGATCAAATAATGGCTGGCTACTCATGGCAGCATAAAAGCTTTCATGCTTTTATGCTTTAAAGCTTTTATGCTGCCATTCACTTTGGGATGACAGCATAAAAGCTGTATGTGGTATTGATCTGATACATATTCCAATTAGCTGCCATAGCTTAAAGTTTGTTTCAGATCCTTATTTATCTCTCAGTCTGACACTGGCTCTAAATGCATGATGTAGGGATATGCTAAATGTACCATTTACATTTGTTAACATAACTTTTCATAGATCCTTAAGGTTGTAAGGTATTGTTGCAAAATATTTACCAAATAGCTGTATGCTAAGAGGTGAATAGTTGTAAGTTGGACTACATTTGATAGCAGAACTACACAGGTGTCAGCACCCTAACTAGTGGTGTGATATGTCATGCCAATGGGGTATTTAGGCCAGGTTTTTTAGTCCTCACAGCATATGTATTACTACAGGGAGCTTCAGGGGTGCCATGCTCTGCCTGTTCAGTATTAAGTGTGGCTGACTGGGATGTGTGTGCTTGTGTGTTTGATGCCTGCAGCAGCGCAGCTGCACCTGGAGCAGCGGCCCAAGGCAGCAGGCTGTGCATTCTCAGCCGTGGCTGCCAGCTCACAGTGTCGTGAGCTGGCGGCTGTGTATGGTGGTCTACTGACACTGCTGCAGGCGGCCCGTGCCCTGCCGCCTAGCAGGCGCCGCGCCGCCACCCTCACCGCTGCCCTCCGACAGATCAGGTGCGCTAACAGCAATCTCCAATGGTCCAGCTGCCCACACTGCCGCTGCCGCGTGGTAGGCGAGGTGACTTCACAGTCGCCACCTGACAAATCAGGTACCCTCGAAAGTACCCTCTGAATGATCAGGCACCCTCAAAGTTACCATTTGACAGATTGAGTAGCTGCGACTCACTCGACCTGCGGTCCGGCTCATTATCAGCTGGCAGAACTTGTGGCTAACCGTGGGTGGACTCACAATGGAATCCAAATTGCAGTCTTACTTTGGGCTTGAGTGTAATGGACTCCTGAAGTTTTTCCTTGGCATCAGAGTTTGATTTGAGTTAACCAAAAAGGTAAGTGGGCTTGGAACCCAGAGTCGGCTCGGTAAGTCGGAAATTTAAACAACACGTACACATTAATGTTATGGCACCTGGCATAGGCACCATTTAGAACACTCATTTAAAGCTGTTTCATGCAAATGAAAAAGCTTGTCCGTCGTAGGTTTTTGTGGAGCCCATATTACGATTCCTCTTCTAAACTTGTCACCAGAGTCAGTTCCATTGAAACGATTCTCAAACTAAGTTTGCTGTCCTTTAAACGGATTTGTCGACTCAAAGCTGTGTAGCCCTTCTCGGAACTGAAGTGAGGATCAACCCCATTCATATTAGGTCAGAGTCGTAATTGATATGCGTATATATGCATATGTATATATATATATATATATATATATATATATATATATATATATGTGTGTGTGTGTGTGTGTGTGTGTGTGTATATGGAATATCGAACCAGTCTGCCAGACGTCTGGGTGTGTGGTGCCGCCGGAAGGGTGCTGTCCTGGCTGTCCAGGACGGGACGCCAGTTATGGCATGGCCTCTGTCCCACGGCTCCGGATGAGCCGGTCCAGCCGGCGGCTCGGACCGCAGGTGGTACTCTCCGCCAGGCTCCGGGCGGGGCCAGCGGCTCTGAGTACTGGTGGTGCCCTCCGCCAGGGTGCCGGACGCGTGGCACGCGGCTCTGGTAGAGGCCATGTGCGGCCCCCTGCCTCCGACGCCAGCTGCCCCGGACGTCACGGCGCCCGTCCACTGGCAGCTGGACATCGTCATCAACCACAGGTCTGTAGCAACAGGCCGGAATCGTAAAGCAATGACAGGCGTGATCCGGCTTGCGCTCTTAGTAGCGCACTGTAGAGTTTTGACGTATGGCGTTGTTTCCATATGGTACCTCCACTTAGCATTGCCATGATTGTTGTTTCCAGCGTCCATCTTAGCTGGTGTCAGTAATAATTGGCAGAGCACACCGGAATGTTGGCTTCTTAGTTTTGAACACTCTGTCGGCTTTTTTAAAGCTAATTTGTCCGTTGGGTAGCTACGGGTAACATGAGCGACGCATCGTTGGGATTCAGAGTTTCCAAATTATTGATGCATGATTTGCGGACGCATGTATGCGTAACCAACCTTTATGCCCCATTTGCTGTGGCGGGCAAGCAATATGCACCTATAAATAATGCGTCGATCGGTTTGTGATGAGTCGGGCGAAGGCAGCGGTGTAGTCAGTGCGAGAATGAACTCCATTTATTTTGCAACTAGCATATTTGAGGCGGGTGATATGTATGTTCTTTCTTGAGTACGTTCCAAATATGCCGCACCTCACTGAGTGTTTAAATGGCCCAATCTGATCGTTTGTTGAATACAAAATTCAGCTATCTGATTTTGAAAACCGTTTTTTTCAGCGAGCGAGGAAGGATTCTAGAGCCTTCTGTCGGACTGGGCATACCAAGCAGCTCAGGGGAGACCACGTACCTTCAGTTTCCGAAAGCTCAATTTCTCCGCTTCCGCCAAGAGATGGCAGTGATGCAGCGTGAAATGGAGTCCGCCGAGTCCAAGGCTGGCATTCGACCCAGCTGAGTAACATGTGGTTTCGATAAGTTGTGTGCTCTGTGAACCTTTGTCGAAGAGGAAAATGGCATGTGCTACTCATCCACGCTATGTTTATCGAATATTTCCAAAGGCATCGGTGCTGCTGATCGGGCAAACAGCCTGTTGTGTGAGGACTTCTTTTGTCTGCGCCCCTGAGACCGAAAGAACCTACTTCAACACCACAGAAGAAATGAAAAGTATGACGCTCCCTTGCGAGTGTGGAGGCGGATTGGGACGTGTGTAAACAGTTGAAAAGGAAACTTTGGCTCGGCACGTTACCGTTTTGCAGCGACAACACACAATGACACGTGGGCTGGACGGCCGTTGAAAACGCGCTGAATCATGTGCCTGTATGTGTATGGGTGTACCTGACTGGAGTCAACCGCGCTGGGAGCTTATAAAAGTGATCATCTACGATCGTAATAAAGACCTTCAAGTATGCGTTTTTGTAACGTGAAGTGTGGTGATCCGCCTTACACTGGACAGTCGTGCCAGTTACAGACGTGGGTTGCCGAAACGCAGCAAGTGTTATACGCAACGCAATCATGCCAACGACTTGGTTAGATATCTGAGTCGTACAGGGATACATGCAGTTTTGGACACTTCTTTCAACAATCGTCTCTTAGGTTTGGTTTCTAGGCTCGCCAACTGCTAGAGATTGCCTTTTTCTGAGCATGTTTCCATCCTTTCCCGCCTTACAGTAGCGCAGGCAGAGTAGGGGGCACAGGGGGCACGTGCCCTCTCCGTTTTAGTTCCGGGGCTCTTCTGGCTACTCTAGCCATACGACTGATGACGCGCTTTGAGTGCCCGAAGGGCCGAAAAACCGGTCGGGGTTCGTATTAAGGGGTCTCGGCCCGCAGTGGAGGGCACCCAAATGCCACCCAGAGGGTCGTGAGCTCTGATCAGGGTCCCCCTGACGTCGTGACATGGGCCTGAGGGCCCATTTTCCAAGCAGGGACAAAGCTGGAGCCAGCGATTTACGTTGGACTCGGCCCCAAAGCCACTAATGAGGGCCGTGTGCTGGCAAGGGACCCGAGTGGCCAGAGGCAGTGTTCGAAGAGATCCGAAGAGCCTGGAACGCCCCCGTGTCCTACGATCACAGGCACGGTTGGAGGATCGCAGGGCACGAAGAGCTGGTCGGAGTCTTATTCAGGGGCCCAGTCTGTGGGGACGGACCCCCGAATGACAGTCAGGGGACCCTTTGCGCCGATCGGGGACTCCCTAAGTCGATATGGGCCTATGTTTCAGTCAGGCGCTACTAGTACCGTACAGTCAGTTCCGTGTCGGCATGGGTCTGAGGGCTACTTCTCAATCAGCTACAAAGCCAGGGCCATTACTTTAAACTGATCGTGGCCCCTGTATCTGTCGGGGGCCCACAGCCCCTAGCAGAGGGCCCTGTGCTCGAATGGAGCCCTGAGCCGGGCGAAGGCTCAGGGAAGATTTGCTCAATAGGGACGGGACGGGACTCCGAACGACGTACGGTCTCTTGCGTTGCTTGGGGCGTTCTGACAATAAAAGGAAAAAGGAAAGCTTATGATGATTGCTCACATTGAGACAATGTAAGGGTCCTGTGCCAGCTAGGGCTCTAGCACGGAACGGTCGTCCCTCCAACCCATTTCCAGCGAAGGCCCATGAAGTCGAACTGGAATGTATGTACCAATCATTTGACCACCTGCAGCGATCAGGGACGTTGTTGCGTCAACAAAGCTTCCTTCCCATCCCACCCAGGGTCATTTGCACGGGTCAAAAGGTCTCCCGCGTCAGGGAAGGGACCAATGTGATATGACGCATCACTCCAAGGGCCTCCAGATTGGCCAGGGGATCCCGCCCCGTGTCACTAGAAAGAAAGTAGGAAGACCACCTGCAGTGGGACAGAATGACCCTTCAGCCTTTGACCGGGAGCAATAACTGTGCTCCTTGTGTTTTATTCAAAGGGCTCCTTCCCCGGAAAGAAATAAGGGGTTTCATAAGTGTTGAATTCAATGGGTCAAAATGAATAATAAAAAAACGAACAAGACCATGTCATGCTTGTCTGACAACTTTTAGTCCTTTGCAGAATCGACCAGTGAAACCAATTACATCAAAGGGCTCAGCCTGCGCGCCCGCAATCCCGGGGACCAAGGACAGCGGCGGCCTGCGTTGTAGTTACCGTAAAACTGAACGGCGATGGCCACCACACGTAACACCAGGCGGCGGGCGCCGACCGCGTGAGAACCGACCGTCGGAAAATAATGGTTCCGAATGTGTTGCAAAATTGATGCGTACCACTAAAAATGATACTCACTGTCTCTTTTTTATAACTTTGGGGATGTACTCTGGGAAGGTAAACACTTCAGCAACACGAAAAGTAGAGCTCTTACCTCCACTCTTCCAGTTCCACCACCAGATCCAAGCATTACTCAGTGTAGAGACCAATCCGTTCTATAAATCTATAAATCGTACAAGTTAAGCATACCACGAACCGCATTCTAAATGTGCGATTTGATGTTCTCAAGCGTTCAACGGTACATCTTTGAAATGTGTCATCAATTTCGTCCACCCGCGGCCCCCAGCTTAGCGGGAGCCACGGGGCCAACTGCATGGCCCTTGGAGACTGCGCCACCTGGCGTCGAGGCTTTTGTTGCCAAGATTTGCGAGTGCGCGTGTTTTAAACTATCTAACCTAATCTGTACCGCTCATGAAATCTGACTGAATGTTGAACATTTCCAGACGAACATGGCTTAACCGTGTTAATGCAAATTGTCGACCCATTTCAATCTAACTTCACGCGGTCTTAATATCTCTTTACAGACCAGATAAAATTCTGACAAAGCTTCTGAGTTCTGTCGGTTTAATGGTTACACATTTGAACGGCGAATTAGAAGGACGCCACCCTCCGTAGAACTTACTACCCAAAACGGTTATTACGTTATAATCCTCTCTGTTTATTTCACCTAATTGTCTTACGCGTTGCTCCATCCCCGCTGCCCGCCGACTGCGCGTCCCTAGTCCTCGCCGTCGGTCATCCATTTATATTCCTGCCCTCGATATCTTCGGCATTACTGCCTCTATCCTCTATAAAAATAAGGTATTGGTTGCGTTGAAATGTTATCCACTGGACTTGCTCTCGTGATTTGCAATATTTCTTCCGCTGGGGGGGGGACTGTATCCATCTTATGATGCTTGAATGAACTAGGGTCAAAGTTCAATTTAATGAGAAAAGCGCCCAGCGTTCACTTTCACTTTCGAATGCGAACTCTGAGTGGCTTTCTGGCATCCCCGATTTGGGTTCGGTTGGCGCATTGCAAGGCTACGCAAAACGCTCGGACAAAACGCTACCCGTGCGTATAAAGTGACATACACAAAGTCCGCCCACTGACCTACGAACCGCTGCTGCAGTGCCTTACTAGCGCTGACCAGCGCGCCTGTTTGGAACCGCGCTGATACTGCGCTTGGGCCGGCGTTTGGCGATGGTTATATTTATTGCTTTTTTGCTTTTCCGTGCTTTTTTGCCTTTATTGCCTTGAGTAGATCAGGGTGACCAATGACCGACGAGATAACTTCTGGCTTGTAATTTGGATAAGCGTCAGGGACGACGCTAGGCGGTATGTTCCCAAAAACAAAATGCTGACGTGGGTCGCTTCAGGTCATTGACCTGCTCTGACTTGTAAGAAATCCATAAAACATCTCTGTTGCAGTCCCTCTTATTAATGCATTGAAAATGATCACCAGAAACTACCCCAAAAACCAGGCTCTCGAGCAAAAAAGCAGAGTAGTTCTGACGTCTGTCTGACCTTCAGCCCTAACACAAAGTCAGTGTTGTTGTAATTCTGTATTTAATTGCTGTATTACCTAAGAATGTGTCTAAGAGATGTATGGCTTCGTCAAACACTCCGTTGTGGCATCACATTTGACGGTTCCCTGGAAATGACATTCGCTGACAGACACGGCCTGACTTTGACCTGTCATAGGTCAGCGACCTTACAAAGTACATCCAACTTTGGCATACCAAAAGATCTGCTAGGCTATTCAATTTTCTGCTGCTATGCAAAGCTTGGCTCGGTTATGCCGTGCCATTCGGAAAGCATTCTGGAAAAATATTCGGTGCCAGGGGTCAAACTGACCCCCACCCGAGCGCGTGCTTCCCCGCCCTGGTAGTTGATGCAACCGCAAGGATTTTAAGGATACCTTTCAGAAAGGTTTAGCAATTGCGCCCAAACTCTTAGCAGCCTAGGAGGCGCTCATTTCGCGTATTTTGACGCAATTTACATGTTCCTAGTTCTTCTGGTTTCTGAGCAGCAACAGTTGTTGTGTCACAGTGCACAGCGGCCTACGGCCGGCGCGAGCGACGGGCGGCAACCGACGATGCTGCTGAACGCGCGCGGCCGGCCGACATTACTACATTAACGGAGCCATCCATGACAACGGCATGCTCAAAATACATAAAAATATACACCAGTTTACTTCTAATTGAACAAGAAACACGCCTGTTTAAGTTTCCTGTCGCCACAAGGTATGGTCTCGTATGTATAATTATGATATATTATGCTGTATATTTGATGTATTTAATATTTTATGATAAATTTTGAAACGCCAAGGAGTCGCATTACCCTCCTCCTCCCCTCCCCACCACCAACCCGCAGTATGAAAAACGGCAAATCAGGACAAGGGTTAATGACATGTTAGCAACCAAGATACACCGACATTAAGGAACAACATCCGTGTAGTGTGACAACGTCGAGCTCACACTTTCCCTGCTATGTCGTAACAGTAAGCCCTATAAGCAAAAGGCAACACCAGATATGACGGCCACTCTTCAGCCAGATTACGCGTTCGATTCCAGTCTTTCGCCCCACCCCGACACCACGCAGCGGCGGTACGGTGAGCGTGGCCTCAGCAACGTTCATACAGAGTCTGCCTATTTCAAACACGGTGACCTTTGTTGTCAATCAGCGTTTGAAAAATATGAAGAAATCGTTTGTTTCACCCCGAATCATTAAAATATTTGTCCACCAGCCAGTGCGCCGGCTTCAGGTTTGACTTGTAGAATGCGTTTGACAAGCAGTGTGGTGGCAGTTTGTCCACGCTGATGCGATGACGTCACACAAATCTGGTGCCGTAACTGTACCAGAGAGGCAATTTAGAAGCAGAACGTTGTGAATGATGGGAAAACGTCCAGTGGAGCAGTGGCATATA